CTGCCTCGGCTAAAACAGCCACGCTGGCAACCCATGGGGCATCTCTGCCTGGGAATCTCCTGGTCTGTGGGCAATAAAAATCTGTCTGGAAATGCGGTGTCCACTCACCCTCTGCGCTTTCACTGGGAGCTGCAATCCTGAGCTCTTCCTAAATGGCCATCTTGGATCCGGATCCGTGATGAAGTACAGCTAGTGCTCAGCTTACGACCATGGTCAGGATCACGGACCGGTCGGTACACAATTTGGTCGTAAGTTGAGTAGGCTATATGTACAGTTCAAATGGTGCACGCGAAGATGGTAGTGCTGCCGGAAGCTGGTCCACACTGTCGTACGCCCAGCTGGGCAACGTTTGTGCTGCCAGACGCAGAGCAGTCATGGCTAGTGATTGTGGTTGTAAAGTTGAATGGTCGTAAGTTGCATAGGTGGTAAGTCGATCAATACCTGTAATTTTAAGCCCATTTGTCCAATTTATGTTTTGCACAAGAGGAAGCCAGGGTGCAGAGAGATTAAATGACTTGCTTAAGGTCACATGCCAACTTGAATTCTACTGTGCCACAGTCCCCCGACCACATAGATGAGATTCAGTGTTCACTAATCGAAACATAAATTTCTCTGTGTTTCTAGTGATGGCTAAAATACATTTTCCATCTTTTAAACTGTTGGTCTCCACATAAAGGGAAATTTAAAAATATAAAAATTATTTCCTAATATACACGTTAAGGGAGAACACCAACAGCAAAGCAAATGTGACAAGAATTCCACTTTTGTCTGCTTCCCCATGCTGTGTCTGCACCTTCCATCAACAAGTGCAACTACTTTCACTTGCAGTGATGCTCCTCACATGGAAGGCATCCTTGCAGGCTGGCTTTCTTGATGCTGTCTTTCAGGACAGATGACAGTGACTCAGGAGCTGTGCTTCTCAAGGACAGGGACTGAGGCTCCTAGCCTCGAATCCCATTATAAAGGAAGCTCTTGAGAGAAGCATTCCCTGCACAGCATCAGACAATATGACAGTATCATGAGACAGTATCATGATATAACAATGTCATGAGATCCTTCTCCTATATACTTCTTAGGAAGTGACACCATAATGACAAAAATATATGTGGGGCATTTTGGGGGTGCCATATGCATCTTAAAGAATCTGAAGGAAGGCCCTTACCTTCAAAGCAATGACACATTCCAAAAATTTGCATACAAATCCATAGGTTCAAACTGAGGTCCACTAAACCAAGATCCCAGATTTATTAGGATCCCATTCTATCAGCAGTCCAAGAAATACTGGGAATCCATTGTACCAGCAGTCTGAGCAACTTGTATGGTGAGCCCCATGCCCTGTGCACTTGTACTTCCTGCCACCTTAGCCAGCTGCCACGGACTCCTTCCCTTATACTACTCTTGATTGTTCTGACAGAGTCTGACTGGTCAGCACTGCACACACACCACTACAAGAGCACAGCCCTGAGAATGGACAGCCTTTTGAAATGAAGTCATCTGAAAGTCTGTAAGTGTCTGGGTGTGGGGGGGTTACTTTATTGTAATTTTGATTAAGAGAAAGTATAAAAAGCACCAGAGGCTCAAAGTCAAAAAGTCATACTAGTCTCATCCTCGGACTGATAAGCAGAATAGGGAAAAGGAAAGAAAAGAAGGAAAGGAGGAAAAAAGAAATGGAGGCACTTGATTTCAAGTACCCTAATGTGGCAAAATCACAACATTTCATAACTTTACCTTCTTTTCTGTGACTCTACCATGGAATCACAATAAACTTCCATCTACTGTAATCTCTTATTAAACACCAGCCACCATATTCAGCTTTCTGCCAGATAAAAATCTCAAAGGGAAAGTAAGATAATTCAATGGTTTTAATTTAGGAAATATCACTATTAGTGGAGAGCAGTTTGGAGATCTCTCAAACAACTAAAAATAGAACTACCATTAAACCCAGCAATCCCATTACTGGGTATACACCCAAAGGAAGCTAAATTCTCCAACCAAAAAGACATGTTCACTTGAATATTCATCATGGCCCTATTAACAATAGCAAAGACATGAAATCAACCTAGGCGCCCATCAGTAGTAGACTGGATAAAGAAAATGTGGTACATAAACACCATGGAGTACTATGCAGCCATGAAAAATAACAAAACCATGTCCTTTGCAGCAACATGGATATTGTTGGAGGCCATTATCCTTAAGTGAATTAATACAGAAACAGAGAACCAAATACCACACATTTTTCATTTATAAGTGGGAGCTGAAAATTGGATGCACTTGGACATAAAGATGGGAACAATTTCAGCATCACACAATATTCCCATGAAACAAACCTGCACATGTACCCCTTAAATATAAAAGTTGATATTTCAAAAATAAAGTTAAAAAATATCCTTTTTACAAGATAGTCCAGAATACAGACTAATCTCAAAGTTAATTCTCTGCAATAAACCCTTTCTTTCAGAACAAATAATCAAATAGTTATTGACCTTAATCTTACACATTATTTATGATTCAATACAAAGTGCTCAAGTTGTTCTTGGGCTCTCTTTAACAAGACTGCTGTAAACGTAAGCTGTGCCAGCTAAAACCAAAATTTCAGTGTACGCAAGTGGAAAAGGCATCAACATTTTTTCAAGGGTCAAGTGCTAGGCTTTTAGTCCAGTACCTTCTATAGAATGATATCCAAGGGGTTAAACACTTTACATGGTGGCAGTCCTGAAATCTACATTTTCTTATTAGCTTAATTCACTCCATATATAAATAGTGGGAGATTTACATGTGTATCAATATGCATATATAAATTTAATTTGTTCACTGTTAAGATTCTGCGGAAGGAGATCAGCATATGGAGCTGAAAGTACGCTATTAAAATAGTGCCCATGTATATGTATAATAATAATTGGCTTTTAAGGGATAGAAATAGAAAAGATAATCTACACTATCCTTGTCCAACTCTACTTTTGAGCGGATGTCCTTAAAAAAATTGGAAAATTCAAGGACAGTGATGGAAAGGAATAAGGAAAGAGTTTGATGATTTTATTAAGAAATAGCTAGTGGCCAGGTGTGGTGGCTCATGCCTGTAATCCCAGCACTTTTGGAGGCTGAAGCGGGCAGATCACCTGGGGTCAGGAGTTCGAGACAAGCCTGGTCAACATGGTAAAACCCCGCCTCTACTAAAAATACAAAAGTTAGCCTGGCATGGTGGCACATGCCTGTAGTCCCAGCTACTCAGGAGGCTGAGGCAGGAGAATTGCTTGAATCCAGGAGGTGGATGTTGCAGCAAGCCACGATTGTGCCAATGCACTACAACCTGGGTGACAGAGCAAGATTCCATCTTAAAAAAAAAAAAAAAAAAAAAAAAAAGAAAAAAAAAAAAAAAAAAAATAAAAAAAAAAAAAAAAAAAAAAAAAAAGGAATAGCTAGTAACTGTCAAATTAATTATACCTATGAATACAATTTGGTTGGTGACTAAAGTGTTTATTTTGCCTTATCACAAAGACCAGATATTGTAGATTTATATAAATCACTACTTTGCAAAAAATTTTTATATCAGAAACAAAAATTCGCCAGGTCAACTTTTACTGATAAATATCCCATCTGCATGTATGAACAATCCTGCTGCTCTTAGTATTTTGTGATTGAGAGAAGTTATAGTGGCAGCTTACAGGTGCTACCAGCTGGAGAATTTACAGGTTGGAAATGAGGATGCAAAGGGATTCTTCCTGCTAAAACCAGTAATCTTACAAAAAGAAAGGGCTGCTTTGACTTAAATATGCATGTATTAATATCCCTCAACCAGCACTTGCTGTCGATACGATCATTATGATATTGAGCTCCCTGAAGCCTAGGATATGACTTTTGTTTTTATCTTCACTTGACTTCAAGAAAGTTTTTTCTTTCTTTTTCTCTCAGAACCTGTTTCCTCATATCAAAATCAGACCTGCAAGTAGGACATCTTCACCTGTTTGCATTCCCTTTTCTTATTTCTTAGAAGACATGCTAAGAAAAAGAAGGAGGGGGTATATGTTATAAAGCCAGTTGAAACTGGCTGATTTCTATTCCAAGTTTCATAATTATAGACTACATTATAGATACTAACAATTTTGTATGGATGAACTAGTTAACAAACCCTATAAAAGCCAGCAATTAAATTGTGCTGTACAAAGTGCTGCTTTTTAAACATAAATATTTTCAAAAGGGACCTGGAGATGAAGTTAGAATACATTTTTATGTGATCTGAGGATCATCAATCAATGAAAAATAACCTGTATGTAAATTACTTCAGTTAAAACAACAAGGAACATTTACAAGTCATACAGGAAACAGTATTTTTAAGGTCTACTGTTTTTTTCTGTTTATGAAAGTCACATAGGCTCATTTTAAGAAATTTAGAAAATTCAGAAACATACAGAGAAGACAAAAAATAATAATCCTACCACCCTCAAATAGTATCTAAGAAATTTTCATGAACATACAGAATTTCAGATTTCAAGTGTGTAGTTTTCACTGTGCTTGAACTGTCCTAATATCCTCGGCATATAATCTGCTATAATTTTTCTGGGGCTTGAATTCTAATTATAAATCTGGTTCTGAGTCCAGTTCTATCTAGTCTAAAATGAGTGACATTGTTGCTAGTAATTATAACGGCCCAGCATCTTCACTTTATTGTAGTTCTATACTGTGCTTGTATAGAAACAACTAACAAATTTATACTCAACTGTATATGGCAGAAATTATATGCTATAGAAATAGTCACATATTTGGGGATTCAAGGTTTGCTTGTGAATGTTAATTTCTATATCTCCTTCCCCATTTTTTGTCTGCCAGTCTTTTAATAGCAAAATATCTTAAAAAAAAAAAAAAACCTAAGGGATAGAATTGTACTGAAAACTGTTAGCTTCTATAGATGTTTTTACAATAGAAAAGCCTTTCCTTCCTGCCCCTACATGGGCAGGTCGATTTTCATTGAAAACAGCTTCAAGCTGGTTCTAATATTTACTCACTTATGCAGGAGCGTTCGTCAGCATGCAGTCTCTATCCCGTATCACATTCACAGTGGAAGCAGCCCAGAGTGTTAATACAGCGCTGCTGGCAGCCTCCATTCACCGTCGCACATTCATCAACATCTAGAGGAGGAAGACAGATGGTCAGGATTACAATGTCATTCCAATGTCAGCTTGGAAGAAATGGCACAATGTTTCTTTGATACACAGTATGTGTTATATTGTAAAAAGGCACCATCTCTGTTGCTACAAATCTTTGCTTGTTTGATCCATTTTGCTTCATCATGTAAACAAGAAAATGTACATAGAAACTTTACTGAGCTTTTTAAAGCCCGTCAATGATGAGCATAGGGATTGCTCATAATTCTCCGTTCTTCAAATATTGGTTAATTAGACAGATCTGAGATACAGGTATTTCCTTGGGGAAGGAAAACTGGAAGGGAGAAATTACAATAAGCCACTCTATTAGGAGCAGCACACGCTAGTAGATAAACACCTATAATGATCTGGCACTGCTGAATAAAGCCAGCAATAGAGTTAAGACCTTGAATCTCCTTCTCATGTGCTATAATGGACATCAGGGTAGAGATAGTGAAATTAAAATGAAGCCATGGTTTGATGTTCTTAAAATTATACATTTGGGTCATTGATTCAGCTTCTTTCCTCTCACTTATGATGCCATTTTCTGAAATATCATGTTTATATGAGTGGTTACTTTAATTTTAGAAAAAAATAGAAAGAGGTCCAGATTCATGATCACCTACGTCTTATGATCAGCCAAGGTCATGATAAATGAATGTAATGTTCATCTTCTGTTAGAAAAGAAAAATCAATTTATCTCTCAGAAGCTACGCTTCCTTGTTCCCTTTGTAATCAGTACTTGCGTATCTAAAATCACAAAAAGAAGATATCCCAAACTTAGGAAGGTATTTTCAGGTAGCTGGTGGATAACGAAATTCTAAATGTTCTTGTTTGGGGATTTATTTTTAAATAAAAACCTATGGCTTTTGACAAAGAAATAATCATCTTTCAGAGAGATGGAAATTTAGCATAGGAAAGCATGTATCTAATGCATAGAATGCCCTTATTTTTCCTGCTCTCAATCTCAGATATTCCAGCAAGAATATTGGAAATGAATATTCTTCACTAAAATATAGTCACTCTACTAGACAATCAGCATTACAACAAGCAACATTAATTCCACAGGGCAAGATCCTTATTCAAGAAGACACCAAAATAAAGAAGCACTACTATTGCAATGACTCATCATAGCACCTTTTCAGGCTAAAATCCTATGATCTGTATGTAATGAGTGCTTTGTACTGTAATAAAAACTAGAGAATATGACCTGAGGGAAGCAAAAGAGTTTTCTTTTACTTGGCATTGTATTTTTTAATCAAACAGACAAAACATATACAAAGAGGATATTAAGTCATCAAACAAGTACCATATCTAAAAACTACTAGTTCTGGATATTTTACAAATTTTATACAATTTAGTATTTTCCTTCAAAAAGATATTTGATGTAATTCCTGATTTTTAAAAGGAATCTTATTTTAAAGATAAGAATGATTGACTTTTCAAAATGCTAGGATTTTTATTATGTTTTGAGTCTGCAATAACCAACCTGTGGGTCTTTTTCTTTCTTTTTTTATTATAGTTTAAGTTCTGGGATACATGTGCAGAACGTGTAGGTTCGTTACATAGGTATACATGTGCCATGGTGTTCTGCTGCACCCATCAACCCACATCTGCATTAGGAATTTCTCCTAATGCTATCTCTCCCCTAGATCCCCACCCCCCAACAGGCCCTCGTGTCCCTGTGTCCATGTGTTCCCATTGTTTAACTCCCATCTATGAGTGAGAACATGCAGTGTTTGGTTTTCTGTTCCTGTGTTAGTTTTTTTGAGAATGATGGTTTCCAGCTTCATCCACGTCCCTACAAAAGACATGAACTCATCCTTTTTTATGGCTGCATAGTATTCCATGGTGTATATGTGCCACATTTTCTTTATCCAGTCTATCATTGAGGGGCATTTGGAACCAATCTCTAGGTCTTTTTCCTATAAACTAATGTTAAGCCAGAATTCTCTATTTGTACTTGTGTTTTTATGTGGGGCTCAATATTTATGCTAGCTAATTGTTTATTTTTCTGACTTTAGGGTATTATTCTGTGGAGTTAAGATATATTTTTTTTTTTTTTTTTAGATTTGGGGTTTTACCATATTGGTTATTTTTTTTTTTAATTTTTTATTTAAGGTGATTTTTTTTTTTTTTTTTTTTTTTTGAGATGAAGTCTCCCTCTGTTGCCCAGGCTGGAGCACAGTGGTGAGATCTCGGGTCACTGCAACCTCTGCATCCTGGCCATGGGCTGTGCTAGACCAAAATATTTTAGTCATATCTATGTTCTCATTTTTTACAAGAAAAAATTATCCAGGTGTTACTTATGTAATGAAAAGGAATTTTAAAGAAAACAATATAGTATGACCACCTCCTTTGACCCACTCACCAAACTTCAATCATTTTCTGACAAAAGAAACAAAGTTAGTGAAAATAAGAAAAATCACTGAGTCTATTCCAAAGATAAGAGTGGGCACAGCTTTTGAGAATGAGCTTTCTTTTTAGTAAGTTTTAATGTGTTTATATTCCTTTTTTTTTTTGAGACAGAGCCTCTGTGTCACCTAGGCTGGAGTACAGTGGTCCAATATTGGCTCACTACAACCTCCACCCACTGAGTTTAAGTGATTCTTCTGTCTCAGCCTCCTGAGTAGTTGGGATTACAAACACCTGCCACCATGCCCAGCTATTTTTGTATTTTTAGTACAGATGGAGTTTCACCATGTTGGCTAGGCTGGTCTCAAACTCCTGGCCTCAGGTGATGCATCCGCCTTGGTCTCCAAAAGTACTGGTATTACATGTGTGAGCCACCACACCCAGCCTAATGTGTTCATATTCTTAATCTGTCCCAGAATTTTAATTAAAGTACCATACTATAGTTGAAATAAGCATGCGCACACACACAGAAGCAAATCAAACTTCCTCTGTTTTTGAATCAGATCGTCCTGGGAAGGACAGTGTTGGAACTTATTAGCTAGTTATCTGGCCTTTCTGAGACTCAGTTTTCTCATCTATAAAATGATAGTGATGAACACATGTACTGTGCTGTGTTTTGTTCCTATTCATATCGAAGATTTTGATATGTGGTAATGCTTGAGATTATATGTGGAAATTAAACAATGTTTTTATTCCATTAACTAGTAGAGTTAACAATATAAGACCAAGAAGTGAGAGGGCATGGCAGGAGCAGTGAACAGTATAGAAATTCAGAGGCAGGAAGTCCATTAGGCTTAGGGGAAAAATGAGAATTGAGTGCATGAAGAGGAGCGTGGACAATGTAAAAGTACAGTGGTTTGTCTGAAATTTAGCATCTGGATTTGCCACACTGGAGAATAAGGTTGGCAAAAGGAGGTAAAATTGAAAAACAAACCAAAGTCACCTTTTATTTAATTTGGATGGCAAAGCATTCCTCTTCTTGATTTAAAATACGATACATTTCTGGGCAGGTTGAGACATAACAGGCTGTGTTCACACCACAGTAAAGCAAACTTATTAAAAGTTAAAAAAATCAATCATTTATAGAGTGGGACCAAATACTAAGTAATTGGTTTGACTTCCTTTTTCTTTTTGCCCTTTCAGAATACACTGAATTTACTGATTGGACATTGTGTAATCAATAGTTCTCAAACTTGGCAGCACATTAGAACCGCTTGGTAAGCATCAAAAAATACCAGTGCCAGGGTCCCACCCTTAAAGAGTCTGATTTAATTGGGCATGGCTAAGGCCTGAGTATGAGACATTTTTAAGATACCTAAGTGATTCCAATGTTTAGCCAGAATTAAGATTGTCCGGTGTAGTGTCGTAATTACCTAGGGCTTTTGTTAACATGCTGATGGTGATTTTGTAGATCTGCAACTGAGGTCTGATATTTTGCCTTTTTAACTAAATCCAAGGTAATTCTGATGTACTGGCCTGTGGACCATAAATTTCAACTAGCAAGAGGGTAGAAAGCTATCTGTTTAACCATCAATGTCACATGAACCACAAAGGTCATAATTTGGCTGGACTTCTCAGTTGTTTAAATTAGACCAGTTCAGTCCAAATTCCTAAATCTATACTCAGCTCAAAATATTTAAATATATATGTATTATAGAAAGCAAAACTATGCAATTTCAAGACAATTTTCACATGATCTGTTGTGAAAAATGATCTGCTTCTGTTAACCTGAAGGAAATGTTACTTCTTTTCTGAAGGCATACCTCTGATATCAGGTGAAACCAGGTTAAATAGCTATGATATTAGACATTTATGCTGGAACTGTCACAGGTTATTTTCTTTGCCATTAAGATTCTGCCCAACAGGGTTAAAAACCAGAAATTTCAATATTACATTAAAATGTTATTATCAAGTATACTTCATGTGAAGGAACAGTTTTTAAAAAATTCTCTGAGTTATATCTTCACGTTAGATGCTTATGGAAAGCCTTGCTCTTAGAATTGGAGTTCCAGGACACTGCTGGGAATAAGGATAAAGTGATTAGAATTTTCTCAATATTACCGCTGTGAAATGGACCCAAGAGTTCATGATTCTATGCTATAAAAGACTATCAAAAAGAAAAAACTATGCCTGCTATTTTTCCTTTTAATGTCCTTTCTCTAACTATTTTGGCTCTATTTATCTCTCAAAACAATTTCCTCAGATGGTCACACAATATAATATCTTAAAATAATGCACATTATTAGCAAATGTTTTTTGTACTTAAGAACTCCCTGAAACAACAATGACCCACTTTTGTTTCCAAACAATCAAAATTGTTTCATATTATATTTTTTAGATTGTGTGACCATTTAACTGAGAACCAGAGTAAAATAAATTATTCTTCCTTTGCCTCAAATACCTGTTGATTGAAAATAAGTGCTCGTGGCGTGCTTTATGTTGGAGATTGCATTGTAGAAGTGCAGGGCTTGGTGAAATATTGAAGAGTCTGGTGAAGATTCCGCTAGGTTTTCCATGTGGCCTTATTTTCCTGTGTTCTACTATAGTTGCAATCACTTTATATATCAAAA